AACTTCAAATGGGTACCTGTGGAATGAGAAAGAGAATCATGGTTTTGCTAAAATGACCGAGAATCGAAACGACAGCTAGCGTCATCCCAGCCCAATAGCAAAATGTGTCACCAACGAATACTCGTGCTGGGTACTGAAACAATAATTTATTTGAAAAATCCTAAAACAAAGAGCAAGGACGGAGAAAGCTGGCAAAAAACAGCAACGTGAAACGAACATATCTGATTACTGCTTACCTTATTAAACTGATAAAGTGCTAAAGTACATGCCAAGAAAGGTATTAGGAAATAAAGTGACAACATATGATCCCAATGTTGATCCTCAACACGATTGACCTTAATCAGGATTTTTCGACAACAACTGAACTTCGAAGTAACAATAGAAAAATGAATGAAAGTTTACCTGAATTAAATTGAAAACAACAACGCTTGACGCAATGACTAGTGCTTGCCCGCTTTCAAGCCCATTTATGCCTAAAATGGAAAGAAGACTATAATACTGTTGTAACAAGATAAGGGTTGAAAAACAAAAACAAATTTAGGAGAACAAGCACTAACCTGCTAAAATGTTGATGGCGTTTGTGCAAAAAACAACAACCATACACATAAATACGTAGTAAAGATAATGGATATTGATTGTCGAAGGAACAGTTTGAAATATCCATGAAGGCACAAAGGGAGCAAGCAACGTGCGAATCGTTAGCGGAATAACAACTGTTGTGGAACCTCCTGGAGAGCTCGAGATGACATCAAAAAATATGAAACACTTGTTGAGAGGGTTGGAACGGAAGAAAAAGTCTCGCCAACTGAAACAAACGCTAAGGGTCAAAAAATTAAAAAGGACAAACCTGAAACATAGTAGACCATAAGAACCGGCAGGGAAGAAAGCGTTGGGAAAGCTAATTTATGGCGCCACTTTAGGTCAAGAACATCATCAGCAAATCCCAACAAGATTGCAGTACAAATGGAGATCAAGCCAGATAAAAATGCCAAAAACTTCGAATATGGGAACTCTGATCTGAAAGTGCATGAACTAAGAAAGGATAACTGTAGAGCCAAGCAGAAAATCTCACTCGGTTCCAAGCCACTCAGCAAACGGAAATGGGATAAATAAAAACATTATAATAAGGTACGCGGCAGCACAGATAACACCCATAGGTTCAGGAACAGGATCGTCGCTCTTCTAAAGGCACAAGAATTACATGGTGTCCTGTTAGCCTAGTACATTCAATACAGAGTTAATAGGAAAAAAAGTCAAAAGGAAGTGGAAGAAAAACA